GGCCGCTGCGGTATAAGTTCTCTACACAGTAGATTGCCGCGTAGCAAAACGACCAATTCGCACGGATAGAAGCTCGAAAGTCAATTTTCCAGGAATAAGGATAAGAAAGTAGAATTTACGAACTGAATATAGGACAGTTTCGCGGCGAGACGTTAGTATCATTCTCCGTGTACGGTTAGCGCAGATAGCGTAGTAAAATTATTATAACCGTACCTTTACCGATTGTCTCCTTTGAGAACATCGGTCGGAAAGCGTTATAACGAAGGAACATTTAATGCATCGATAGGTAAAAACCTTGGCTTTCAGCGCCAACGGCTAGAAATGGAAACTCGAGAAAGACACAAAAAGTGTGTATTTAATTTCATCCAAATCCCTCCTATATTTCATGCTAAATAAGCTCGTGAGAGAGAAGCGAGAAACGCGCGAAATTCATCGCGACGTACTCGCGATGCGGAGCTTATCTCTCGCGCTTCGTTTATCGGTCTAGATCACGAAGGCGACTCCTCGATCGGCGGCGCGATCGGCGAGAGATTACATCTCTCACAAACGCTTGTTAACTTAATCCTTTCAGCCGCTCGTGGACTCTATCTGGGACGTCTCTTGCGATTGCGGGAGGCAGGATAATCCGCTTGGACGTACTCACCTTGTTGTGCGGCAGCTGCGTGGGCACGTAGAGTGGCGGATCCAAACCCGGACTCGTGACGGCGTGACGTCCAATAATCCTGTCTGCCGCTTTCGCGTCGTAGCCTTCCGGCTGGCCGATGTGGAAACCCTTGCTCTTGACCCAGAAGCGGAACTTGCTGTTCTCCGCGCTGTTCACCTCCTCGCCCCGCAAGGTCCTCAGGATGCGCGCGTATTTCTTGATGGTGATCGTCTTGGTCTTGGCGAGATCGCCGTACGTCTTGATCACCCACGGCTGATAGGCGTTGAACATGGCGTCATTTTGAAATTTTCTCGGCGACGCGGCGGCTCCGTCGACTCCTTTCGGACCCTGTCCCTTCTGCACGCCGTACGCGCCGCCATTCACATTCGGCGACGGCATCCCCGAATACGACATCGCCATTCCGCCCTTCGTGTCCACGCCGGCGGCAGCGCCGGTCGGCGCGTATCCGCCGTTTAACGAGTTCGCAGCGCCGGAAGCAGCCAGGGAGCTACCGGTCATGTTCGAAATGTCGAGGTATGAGACGGACGAGCTCTTGCCGAGGTTCGTGGCGTTGCCGACGAAAGTCGCCATGGAGGTCGACATGTACGGTGGAATTGGCGTAGGTGGCATGCCGAGGCTTCCGGCGCACAGGCCGGCCGTTTGTCCGCCCGTCAAGCCCAGCCCGGTTACGGAAGCGTACGACGGCACGTCCGACATGTTCGACGTGGTCGGCCAGCTGGTCGAGAGTACGGAACCGTTGGATATATCGCTCGTCGAGGAAGAGGCCGTGCTGGCAGCCGTCGAGGTGGACGACGACTTGGTCTGAGTGGCCGATCTCGAGACGGAAGTTCCGCGACTCTTCGTAATCTGACTATCGGTCGAGATACTCGTAGTCGTTGACGTGGAGGACGCCGAGGAGGCTGAGTTCGAAGATGAGGAGGAGCAGGAGGAGTTGCCACCTTTTCCTCCGCTTGTCGAAGTCCCGCGGGACTTCTTCGTCGGCGGTTCGTCCCGAGTGCCGCCATTCATCGAGTTCAGATTGCCGTGGGACGGGCTATTGTTGTTCTCGCTTCTCGAGCGCTTGCTCGACGACGACGCACCCGTCGTCGTGGACAGTGATTGGCTCGAGGGAGTCGGCGAGTTCACCGGTGCTCTACGACGTAGACCCATCGTTGTTGCACTGGCCATATTATCGTTTGTGCGTTGGGTGTATTATCTATGTATCACAATCGAGGTTCTGTTCACCGTTATCCTGCGACCGGCACATCGACACTAATCACTGCGAGCACAGCAAAGTCACACCATAGGAATCATTCACGATCACTCGCAACGTATATTGACGTTCGTATGAGATTCAATAGATCATTCGTCGAGGCGATAATCCGCACGAATGTCGTTTAAGAAACGGTCTCGACCGTCTTTCTTCGGGAACGATGACGACGGCAAGGTGATGCTGGAAACAAAAGAGGGACGAAATGTGACAAGGAAAATTAGCTATGCGCAATTAAGCGGCGGAAACATTTAAGCGCGAGGGGCGCCGCTAATGGACTACTAGTCGAGTGGGTGGAGACTATCACCAGTGGGAGAGGTAGATTATAGCTGCTCGGGGATATAATACGGGGCAGAAATTCACTCGGGAAATTGACTCCCGTCGTTTTCCACCTTCTCTCCGATAATAAACGCATAGCGTGGCCCCTCGCGCAGGCGAAACTATTGCAGTGAAAATTCTCCATTTTCACTGCGATTCGAATGCACTTATTTCCTTCGAGCTTTGTATAGATCGAAGGATCATAGACATATTGATATCTAACGAACTAGTGGTGCAGTTTATTTTGGAAGCTATGGTCAGCAAGATTTCAAAAATCAAGACAAAATGAGTACGAGTGGTATGCGTTTTGTTTGAATCGTCTTTCGAAACTTGCTACTTTTTTTTTAAATAAACGGCTCATATATCACCGTATTTTCATTGAAAGCAATTAAGATAATTTTTTTTATAAACAATATAAAAAAGGATGAAAGAAAAGGAAGTAAGGACGGAAGAGAATATATTATAAAAAATATAATATATAATAAATGTTATATAATATATAATAAATGTTACAAAGGTTAGACATAAGCAAAAAACCAAAGATTGTAATAGTTTTAGAAATTATTTAGTGGAAATTACATTTGAGGGATGGATTGGATGTATGCGTAGATAAATAAAAAATTATAAATCAAGTCTCTTTCTTGCTTTTTATAATGTTGAAATGTAATAAATTCTATTCTATAAAAAAAGAATTAACCTTTCGTTTGTATTCTCGCATTGTGGAAAAACGGAAAAATTAATGGGATCAACCTGGCCGAACTAAGGATATTTCGTTTACCTACGACATTTAGTCTGCATGACTGCAACGGCTTTTCTCTGATAATTATTTATGTTCCTTATCTTCTGCTAATGCTCAATTAACCCGTTACGGTCCTTTATTTCCAGTTACTATTCACTCTTGAAGTAGAATTCTCGCGCTTCTCCGCGGATATCACGTTTCAACTCTAACCGCATATGAAGAAACGGGGACTTTTCGCAAGAGCGGCATTAAGGATAGTCAACGACGCTGGCACAATTAGCCAGCAGCTTACATGACGTACTAAACACGGGAAAACCGGTTAGCCGGCGCGACCTTCCTTTCGCGCGTGGGCCATTTTTGCGCTCCGCGTATCTGCATACCCAATATCGGGGTTAAAATATAGCGTACCATCGCGTGTGTCATCCGAAAAGGAAAAAAAAAAACATCCCGCTGCAGAATCGAACGGTTATTGCTCTCAACCTCCCGCAGCGAGAGCCGTGATGGCGATAAAGCCGGAAAATAATGAGATATAACGACCTAAAAATGAAGCCACCCCCTTCGCACGGTTCTCACCCCTAGATGTGCATCGGACACCCTTGATGTCACGCCCTCCGACAAACGCTTCATCTCTCGCGGCTCTATTTATTGATTACAATTCCGAAATAAAAAAAACTGTGACGATTCGTTCGACTATTTCCATCATTCTATTTATATATCGAGTATAAATTTATACTCGATATATAAATAGAACTTATATTAGCAAAACAGGATGTATTCGAGATAACCGTAGGTGTATCAAAGACCACGTACGTGGTACGAATATACGCGATTGAATGATACAATCCGCAATCGTAGCGCGTACCTAAGAGCGGAAGCTAATTCAATAAGCTCGATCGGACTGTCCACCCACCTTGGACAATTCGCTAACGGCCCCGAGGGCGACACTTAAATCCCCCATGGATCGCGGAATATCGGGATAATCCTCAAATACCGGCGAATCGTTTCGCTGAAAGCGGAAGGATATCAAAATGAAATCTCGCGGAGGTTGAAAACAGTCAATTCTATCCTACAAGACTTTGGACTTACGCACAAATTGTTGATAATCGCAGAGCATATTTAATTGAGCCACACTGCGAGATATTTATTTAATAAGATTCTAAAGATAGTGATGGAAATAAAGTTGGAATTATACTTGCCTTTTACCCTTAATAAAAATAAGTTGTAAATAAGAATAATCGATGATTTTAATTAAGCAATAAAGCCGACTTTGATATAATCAGAAAATTAATTTTTTCATAAACGCAAGAATTAAAAATTTATATATTTATCAAATCGAAATCGGTATTATTATAAAAAAAGATCAGTTTAATATCGGAGCAAGATCGATAGGGAGCCAAAGGATGCTCTCATGTCCACAAAATAAAGGCTAATTATTCTAATATCTATAATACAGGCCGAGATATGTTGTTAAATACTTTAACCTGGATCGCTCGATATGAGAGTCACGCAAAGAGCTGGCATCGCGACGGATTTCTTATTTTTCGTGATTATCGCCCTCGGGAATGTCAATCAGCGGAGTCGACTAGTTGACCGACCGACCGGGTTCCCGAGTAAAATGGCAAACCTCTGCGGTTTACGCCAGACAATCGAGAAACAAGCCCGCTGGCGGGAGCTAATTCAATGAGGCCGATCGAAGCGTCTAGCACGGTAGCTGGCATAATGGCCGGGCCGCGATGTACGCGATTTCCTTCAATTGACGATGAACCGGGGAGGGAGAGAGCGAAATGTGGAAGGCAGGATACGGTCGAAAAGTCACGGTGATATCATCGCCAGATAACCGACATTGTCCTGCAGCGGAGATACGATCGCGCGAACGCGCGAAAAGGTTTATTTCGAGAGTCGCGATCCCGGAGCGCCTTAATTAACGACTCGATTAAGTACCTATTAACTGCCGCGGTCGCATTTAACCCACGCTGCCAGAGAACCACGAGAATCGCGCAGAAACGGAATCAACGGGGAGAGCAAAGCGAATAAGGTAGTATCGAGCGAAATATTCGTGCTCTTTATTTACGAGGAATAATATTCGCAACCGAGATACGAAATTGATTTCCTCCAGTCGCGATGTTAAATTTAAGACACGTTTAAAAAATAACGTTGCTCGAACGTATGAATGATTAGAAAATATCGATATCGATGACATCAATTTGAAAAAGTGACAACTGTTGATCTTTAATAGAATCGTAATAAATTTATGTAATTAGAGATACAGAAATCTTCATTTTCAATTAATTATTAAAATCTCGAGGCATATTATATAAAAGCTTTTATAGGATAGAATTTGAGATTAAGCATTTATAAATCAAGTGACTCCGGGATCTTAAACGATCGTCTCTCAGAACGCAAAATTTTAACGTGTCGAGAGGAAACTTAATAAGCCTCTGAAGCACGAAGTCGCAAATTAAATTACCTCGTCGCGTTACCGATTTCGCTGAAAACGCAGTAACGCGCAAACGCTACTGACGGAAATCCGACGAGGTGAAAAAACTGTGAGTGCCTGCATTCGTGAGTGGGTGACCCGATTAAGTTAGCGGCGGGCTGCGCTTAGATAATTCCGGAACGAACAATCGGGAGACAAACCTGTGCGATCGGTCGGGCAAAGGAATCGGATGTCAAGAGGAGGCGGGGAAAGGAGTGTGGGAGGGGGGGGAGGAGCAAATTCAATAAGACCGATCGAACCGTCCGGCACGGTAGCCGGGTATAATGGCCTCGGTGCGCGATATATCCGCGCGCTCCTTTAGGTGGCAGAAACGGGGCCCCGGGACGGCGATATGTCTCGGCTTAGAGCCGCACACAAGTCACGTAGTGGCATGGGACCACCACCGAGTATTATAGCGCGTCCTCTGCCGTCTCCGCCGATCCTCTTCTACCCCC